GATGTATAAACAAAGTAGGACATTAGTAGGTTCTCAATATGTTTCATCACTCCAGCTTTGTTGCCCTGGTAGAATCCCTTGGCCCCTCCTGTCACTCTGACCATCCTCTGATATTAAGGATTTTGATTCAATGGTAACATCTCTTAGCCTTATTCCCAGAGTAGGGAGGATATATTCTATAGCACTTTTATTCAAAATAAGGGGTTTGGGGCTGTAGTTGAGTGGTAAAGTGCTTGCCCAGCATCTGTAAGGTCCTGGGTTCCCAGCATGGCAAAAGATAAAAAAATTTAAAAAATTGGGGGACAAAATTAGGAGATAAGTAGATCATACACATAATAAATCTACAATCAACATCTCTATCATCATTTTTGGTTCTTCTAGTTATACTGAGGAATTTATAACATCACAATTTCTTGAGCATAGGCTACTTTTAAGTCCAGGTCTCATCTAACCAACTAGCTAAGAGTCATTCTCAGAACCGAGCACTGTGGCACACACTTGTAGTCCCTAGTGACTTGGGAAGCTGAGGCAGCAAGATCACAAGTTTGAAGCCAACCTCAGCACCTTAGTGAGGCCCTCTCAAAAAATAAAAAGGAATGGAGGTGTAGCTCAGAGTAGAGTACCCCTGGGCTAAATCCCTAGTGCTTCCCCCCAAAAAAGCCATTTTTTGGTGGATAACCCCGATAAATATAAACATACTAAATCCAAAGATCTCCATTACACTACATTGATAAATTCAACCAAAATGAAAATCAATTTATCTTCCTTTCTTCCCTAGCTACCAACTTTAGAATCAGTTCACGACATACTCCCCAGGTTCCTGCTGATACAAATTGGCAAAATATTGTAATTCTTTTGTAAATCTTTTCTCACATCAGACTGTCTGCCTTCTAGAAAAACCAGAAATCTGCCAGGCGCTACCAGAGCGCATGCCTGTAATTCCAGCAGCTCAGGAGGCTGTGGCAGGAGCATTGTGAGTTCAAAGCCAGCCTCAGAAACTTACTGAGGCTCTAAGCAACTGTCTCTAAATAAAATACACAATAGGGCTGGGGATGTGTCTCAGTGGTTGAGTGTCTCTAAGTTCAATGCCATGTAACACCCTCCCCCCAAACAAACAAACAATGAATCAATCAAAACCCAGAAATCCGACTCTAGCTACAAATCTGGTAGTAATGACAGGTAGTGGGTTGGACATGAGAAGTACTGGTATTTTCTTTCAAGGCAACTACCCCAGAGTCTCCAAGCAACAGAACCAGTCACATCAGTGAGGGGAAGAAGACCTGCTTTTGTTGGTTAAGAGAAGCTCTGTGTATGTGGAATTAGTGGTTCAGAGCTCAAATGTCCCCATTTCTCATTTCAGGGTCCCACTTTCCCAAATGATGCCCTAACTTTCACATAAGAGACCTGGTAAATCTCCACCTGATTTCCACATACTTCAGCCTCACAGACACAAGATAAAATTCTCTTGGGGCTCTCCTGTGGTACATGCCTGTAATGTCAGTGACTTGGGAGGCTGATGTAGGAGGATTGAAAGTTCAAAGCAAGCCTCAACCACTTATCAAGGCCCTAAGAAACTTAGCAAGACCATGTCTCAAAAAGCCCCTGAGGCTTACATTTTCTTCCTTTAACATCTCTGGTGTAGTCCCCTAAACCCTCAGTTCTCATGTTATAGTCTGTCATAGCAGCCACTTGATCTGCTAGACTTTTCCACTAAGAGACATTTTTCTTTGGGTGACCACAGATACCAACATTTGCTTATAATTTCATTGTATTCAAAGGCAACAAGATCCTCATTTCCTACAAACCCAACTTAATCATAACTAATCTAAGTAGGTCTGTTGCCTATAGCCATTTTTGAAATAAAAAAATAGTTGCAGACAAATGTCTACCAATTTTAAGTAGAAAAGGATTCAATATAGGCAAATTAGGTATTTACTGAAGAGTTGGGAAGCCTTGGCAAGAGGGCTGTAGGCTGGGCTTCCAGGAGATTCGTAGAATTGGCCAATGCTGAGAGCTGACTGCTACCTCTGCCACACCAGGGAGATGAGGAATCAGGAGGCCATCACAGGTTGACTACAAAAACACGTTTCACAAGCTGGTACCTGTGAATCAGGATGCCCTTCAACACTGATGAGAGCCATTGATGGGTAGTAGAATACCACTGATGAGACACTAGGTCTGTACACCTTGAAGCCCAAGTAGCTAAAGACAACCCCCAGATGCTCCTCCCTTCCACATCTCATTTGTGCATCCAATGGGCAAAATTTAAGTTACTTTCAGAATGTTGGCCTCAAGGGAGTCTAAGACCTGAAATTCTTAGCTTGCTAGCAGCCTGCAGTACAAGAGGGTGTGTTAGGTCCGAATGAGAACCCATTTGCTATGGCACAGCTTCTTTCCATTGACCTATCTAAGTAGGACTTGTGAACAGACACATCCTCTCCTAGTTTTAGCCCCTTTGAAAGCTGACTGCAGCGCTCTGTCTAGCTTTGCATATTATTTACCTTCCTGGCCTCAGAGACCCCTTTAGTTTTCTTGTCTTCTATGTCGTTTTGCTAATCTACACAAAATTGCCCCCCAGCTAATCTGCTTCTCTCCCTGCCTTAACCTATTTTGTTCCAGTCACATAGGTCACTATACTGTGTCTTTTAAAAAAGCAAACCAATGATGCTCCACCAAAGGCCTTTGTACTTTATTTCTCATGTCAATTGTACTCTTCCCCTATTCAGTTCGTTTCCTCATTCTGTTCAGATCTCAAGATCTCTGATCAAAGAGGTCTCATTCTGCCCACCTAAAACATCACCTACCACTGTCTTCCCTTTGTTTTACCTCAGCATACCTGTCCTTATTATGTACAATTGACTTCCCCCACTAGAGTATAAATTCCATGGAGACAGGAATTTTGTTTTCCTCATTTCTGCATGCCATATCCTGCATAATTATTTCAGAATGAATGAAGGCCATATGAAGAAAAAATTAGCCAGGAGCTATGGGTATGCCTATAATCCCAGTGATTTAGGAGGCTGAAGTAGAAGGATTGAAAGTTCAAATCCAGGCTCAGCAATTTAGCAAGGCCATATGTAACTTAGTGAGACCATGTCTCAAACTAAAAAGGGGCTGAGGATGTAGCTCAATGATTAAACACCCCTGGATTTAATCCCCAGTATGAGACAGAGAGAGACACAGAGAGAGAGAGAGAGAGAGAGAGAAGAAGAAGAAGAAGAAGAAGAAGAAGAAGAAGAAGAAGAGGAGAAGAGAAGAAGAGAAGAGAGAGAGAAAGAAGAGAGGAGAGGAGAGGGAGGGAGAGAGAGAAAATGAATATGAATCAAGATGATTCCATTTTCTCAGCAGAGAACTTTCCCAATGCATTACTTATGTTGTCCTCCAGATGGTAGTGATGAGCCTTTCTGGGAGATGAGAGTGGAGTGCTACAAAGGATTCAAATAGTTTTTCCTACCCCTGGTCTGGAGTTCTGGGCTTCCTTTCTTAGATGATATCCAGAATCTCCTTTAACTTATTTCTATGTATCTCTACAGGAAGAAAAAACATTGGCCTTTACCAACAGTGTTTTCAGTAAACCATCTCACTTAATCTTTACACCCCATAAATCAGGCTTATTATCCCATTTTAGTTAAGTGAAAACAGACTCAAGAGTAGACTGCCCAAATCCCACAGCATTAAGCAGAGCCCAGATAGGGAACACAGGTTTGGCTGTAAACTACACCCCTCCAACAAACTTCTTTGATTTTATCCAAGTTAACTATTCTCTTGACGAAGCTTCAAGAGAATTCCAAGTCTTGAATGGAAAATCTGCATTTCAGGTCTCCAGATTGCCCGCCTCTTCTTCCAATAGGTTCCTTTTGTCACACAGGGACACCCTTTAGGGTGCTTTCTTCCAGAGACCTGAAGTCCACTAATGGTATCTTATTTCAGGTGTAAGAAAATGTGCCAAGTTGGAATGTAGTGCCCAAGAGCTAAGATGCTGGCTGTTGTCCAGACTCCTCATCCTTAGTGTAGCAAGACAAAGAGCAGGTGCATCTGCAAAGGAAAACAGAAGGCCATCTGGTTTCTAGGGAAAGATGCATTTGATTCTTCCTCTAGGCCCAGGATTAAGGTGACAGAAGTCACCTTAAACACAGTCTTGAGAATTGGGGAATCTGGGGGTACAAGGGAGTAACTTTCTCATACCATCACTGAATTAAGCCAGATCTGGAATCTTGCATTGGGTCTCATGAGTCTTTCATTCAATTTTCTTGCTACTCTCTGTAAGAGCTTTCATTTATAAGGACATTATTCTAGACAGTGTAAAAATTCAAAGTAGTATTAACTTAGTTTAATTCTGATGAATTTGTAGGGTCAGGAAAAGTTAAATATGTTCAGAGATTTTGATGGCATGTATCCTCTCTTTTCATTACAAATCTCAGATTTCTTTGTCCCACTTAAACCACATTGGCAAAACTAAGAAAGCCTTTTAAAGAACAGGGGAACACACCTGAGAACACAGCCAATGCCTCCATCACTGCTGGTGATTGCGCAAATCAGTACATTTCCTCCTCCAATAAAAATACTGTTCCCAACTTGTGACTCTGCAACGTTCATGGAGACCTCTTGAGACCAACTGGGACTGCCACCCTGTCCTCCTCTGAAGCATAGGACTAACAATGACTATAATGCAGAAAAGGGCAAGTAAAGCTTTAACAGGAAAACTGCAGTTGCCTCTAGATGGCAAACAAAGTTCATTCTAACTATGGCTTTCCTGTCCAGCTAACTCAGCTAAATAACTCTTCAGTCTGACTATACAGTCCAAACTGAGCCTGGCTTTGCTCCCTGTCACCCTTAAAGAGACAGTGGTTTATACTTGACTCCATTGTAGTTGGATTTGAATAGAATCCTTCCCTGGGGTAAGAAAAACTCAGGTCTAGAGATTGTCAAAGATGCAGTGTTTTGTTTCAATCAAACACTTGGCTCTGTAGGACTAGCCAAGCCAAGGAAAATGAGATGAGTTGAATTACCACAGAAATCTTTATTAAAATGTGTCCTTCAGTAATACGTTAGCATACATACAATATACACACATACATATGTACACTCTTTGACACACCTCACGGATTGCCAACATCAGTTTAACCAATAAATTAAAACTAAAAAAGAGGGGGAAGGGAGGGGTACTAAGGGCAAAATTTTCATGTATTATCTGGTAAGAAATTGCAAATTTCTCAGAATTTCCCTGGGGAAAACCTGACCAGAAAATCTTTGAAATAAAATACATAAATCCCCCCCAACCCCCCCACCAAAAAAATCCAAAAGATGCAGTTACAACAAGTGTGCTTCTCAGAACAGGAGCATTCATTTCACTTCATACTCTGGCTTCTGCACCTTCTGGCTTCAAGACAGTCTGTCCCTCGGCTGGGGCACAGAGGTTCATATGGGCACTTGGGCTTGGTGCACCTTGGGCTCTGGGGGTTGAGGGGCAGGCTGCAGTATGGGAGCGGGGAGAGCCGCACTCATCTGAGGTGATGTCTGGCACGTCATCTGACTGTGTGTCAGAGCTCTCCAGATCACTGCGGATGCTCTCTGGCTGGGCCAGGCTGATGTCCCAAGCTTTACTGGCCAGGCAGTCTTTCTGTTCACAGCTTTGGTGTTTGCAGGGGGGATCCTCTTCAATGCCACCACCGCCACTGTCACCGCCACCGTCACCACCACCACCACCACCACCACCACCACCACCACCACCTTCTTCTTCATTTTCTGCCATCTGAGCATGGACATGGAGTGAATCCTCTGTGCTGCTTCCACTCACCAGCTGATACTGGCTTGGTTTGGCCTCAATATCCACTTGGATTTCCATATTGTTGCATTCTCTGTGGAGACAAAATCCACTGTGCTGAGTCATGCATGGGTCATGCTATACCTGTTGATAAAAGCAGTTTGTGGATTTAGGATTAGGAAGTTTAAAAGGATGAGTAAACAGTGGACTTGAGCTTACTTTTTGCTACACAGACAAACACTCTTTTAAACATCTGAAAAAGCTTCCAAAATTCTACTAAGGGTCAGAGCTTCACATTATCTTTCTCAAAACATGAATGTGAAAGATTTATAACTCTTTGCTACTGTGCTGTAATTAGAAGAAGCCAGAATCCCAACAGTAAGGAGTACTGCAATCACACCAAGCCAGATACACTACTCAAAATGAAAGCATATGGGAACCACATCAAGCAAAAGGTGAGCAGAAACCTTAGATTCACAGACATCAATGAACACCAGTCTAGCTCTTTCAGTTCCATGTGAGTAATTACACAGTTTCAGTAGCCAAGGGGAGGGGAGGAGGAGGGAAATGAGAGAAGGAATCTTTAAACATCAAGCCCCAACAAGAAGAATCAAGAGATGCCAACACCCTAGGACCAAGAACTTGGTCAATGAATTCACAGGGCATACTCTACATCCCACTAGATGGTACATAAGAACCCTAACATGAGGCGTTGCACTTCTCGGAAGACCTAGTACTGGGCAAAAAAAATGCAACCTCTCCTGGGCATCTGACTGTTCACATACCTGTCCTGTGGGTTGTAGGAACTGATTATGGAACCGGCCATAGCACGAGTGCTTGCGTTGTCACTAATTGCACCAAGACTGGCTGTGTCTTTGGGGAAAATTTCCTTTTGGACATCGGCTTGGACTTCTAACCTGTGTAAAGAGGGGACGTTCAAGTTAATACGAGACCTGGGTATTCTGAGACAGTCTACTTCCTGGCACATATCTCTTCCATTATTCTCTTGCAAACTGTCTGATCATCTCCAAATTGTCAAATAGATCAAATATGTGCCCGCCCATTTTCCCTCTTAAATATCGTCCCCTCCTTTCTATCCCCACTACTACTACTTTCACACCCCCAACATCTCCTGCTTGGGGATTTACCCCTGGGCTCTCTCTCCAGGAGCACCTAAGTCCAAGTCAGACAACCTCAAGACCAGTGCCAGTGGATGAAGACCTGATCTCTCTAAAATTCCTTAACTCCTGGCTGCCTCCTGCTGAACAGGCATTTATGGTCTTCCTGATCTGTCAGGAAGCCAGTCCCATCTCACTAGAGGCTCAAAATCATAATCACTTTGAGTTCAGATTTATATACCTCCATAACTCTGCACCTGCTATTCTCTCTCTCTGGAAGTTTCCTTTCCTCTGCAACAAACATATTTGGTCCTTAATAAAGGAAATTCCATTTCCCAATTTTCTCCCAGAAAACCAGTCACTTCCAACTAAGTGCTCCCACAGCAACTACCTACTTATCAATTTCTCTCTCTCTCTCTCTCTCTCACTCCTCTGGGAGTTTCATAAAAGAAGAGACCACATCTCACTCACACTTTACCCTTTGGGCCTCAAAACACTTAGCAATCAAATCACCCCTGGGTTATAACACTGAAGGACACACAGGAGCCAACCTCCTCCCTTCTGATACAGCAGCATTTTCCCAATGATGTCTCAGAGATAGGAACCCATAACTATTTGCCTTCTTGGCTCAAATACCATTTTGTTGCACTCTTGAGTATTTCCTCATAAAGGGTTTCACCGTCAAACCCATCTGACTCATTCACTTCCTATAAAAGAAAGGCTTTCACAGAACTGGAACAGCTGGACTGGCTAAGCTGCAGTTTCAGCAAGTCACTCTCCAATTACATGTGTCTGCTCATTTATAGGGGAGCTGGCTTTAAGAGTACAGCAGTGAATGTTCCAGCATTTGGGGGCAGGATCCCCTAACAAGAGACACCATAGTCACAAGACACAGCGGGATCAGCAGCAGCTTCCACCCTACCACCTGCACCTTGGCTCTGCTGCTCCGCCTCAAATACCCTTCAAGGATGTGAAGCGGTCTGGCAAAATGAGGAGAGTGCAAGGGAAGTGCACTCGTCAGAGACATGGGTTCCAGCTTCAGCTCTGCCACAGGCTCGCTCTCTGTGGGCAGTAGCTTTCTCAACGGCCATTTACTTACTTAGTGGCTATGCTAAAATCAACTTGGAAGTTTGTTTTTAAACTCAGTCCATCCCTAGGTCTCATTCCAGGAGACTTTAGTTATTATTCGTGGAAATGGGCCCTAAAATCTATTTTTAAGAGGTTCCCAGGTGATTGACCTACCTGCCATCTGTTGCTTGAATCCTTTTAATAGCCAACAGGCCCTTTGGTCCCACTTTAAACACTTTAGAAATAAGTAGCATAGTATCTGCAAAGGTAGTCCTTTCCTTCTTTGGGTTTTTATACAGCTTTCCTCCTATATTCTATGCATTGCATTCAAATTAGTTTCCCTCTAGCTTCTGCCTAGTCATTTTAATCTTCCTCTTGGCGTGAGTCACAGAAGTCTAATCCCTTCCCCAGCTGAAAGCTTTCAGACATCTGAAAGCGATTAGCTTCCCTACCTCCTTACCCTGCTGTGCTCTACCTGTGCTCCTCCCCAGGCCACTCTTCAGAGAATCAATAAACTGCTTCTTATCTAATATCTGTAAAGTGCCTCTGTATATATTCTGGGTTATCTGAATGTGAAATGATCAAGCAAGTCACAATCTTTTTAAAAGTCATAAAGCTTTACGCATTCTCAACACAAATTCATAGATAGGACAGATATAAGGGTCTTAGTACCAGTTTATGTTGTACATGGTACAACATAAATGCCATTCAACCAAAAGCCAGTAAAATGAGCCAAGGGAGAGCACAACCTCAGGAATTCAATGAAAATGCCCGTTCTTCCATTAAGCAGGAAGCCCAATGTGGTTAGTAGAGGGAGAATATTCTGAATATGGAAGCAGCTACTGTGCAGCATAAAGAACTCTGAAGTTTGCTAAAAGTTGAAAAAAATACCACTGACAATTAAATCAAAGTGACATGATATATGAAAGATGCATAGTACAGAGAAATGGCTTAATGTATCACTTCTTATAATTCTAACTGTTAGAAATTATCTATTTGCTTACCTGCTGTACTTTCCTTTGCCACTGGAGAGAATGCCACCACTCAGCGTGCCCCCTGAGAGGGCTGCAAAGCTTGCTGTTTCACTGTAAGGGCCTTGCATAACACTGAGTCCATCTGTAGGGCTTCCACTGGTGCTCAACACACTAGTCAGGCCTTCGATGCTGCTTTCCCCAATGCTGGGATTCTTGAGGGCTCGCCAGGCATCTGCCACTGTGGGTGGAACAAAACATCTCAGTTCAGGACCGCAAAGCATCAAAACAGTCTAATAGGCATATTCCTAACATGACTTTTCAGAGTGGAGGATTTTATGTAGAAAAGTACTAAGGTATTCAGTTAATGAAAAGCTACTATGTGCAGCCATTGTACATCATCTATTTTAACATATGTTCATATTTAATCCCCCCAATAGTCAGGCATCGACAGCTCTGACTTTAGTTGAAGAAATTAGAATTTAAAACTAAATAACTTATCCAAGATCACAGTCACACCAAACTACAATTCTAAGTCCAAAATTATTTCCACAACTCTGTAGCTGCCTTAATTAAACTGAAGATTTCAAAATATGTTTAGATCAGTGTGGATTTCAATAGAAAGACTGAATTTACCATTGGTGAACTCTGTGCCCCAGGTTAGTTAAGATGGTGAAGTGGGAACAATGTTCAAGAAGTCAGAAACTTGCTTAGTCCCAGCTCTGCAAAAACTCTTAACAGATACTGAAGTAAAAGCTTAAATATGTTCCCATTTAAAAGGGGATAATAATAGCCCCTGCCCTTCTTCTTCAGAGAGCTGTTGTAAAAAGGAAGATAATAACTATGTAAAGTCCTCTGAAAATTGTAAAGTACTATGCAGACACAAGGCTTTATTATAATCACTCAACCACCAGCATACTTGGAGTTACTTAGAATCCTACTAGTTTGTACCTGCCACACAGAGGCAAGCACCAGAGGAATTAACCTAATAATTCTGGAACAAAGAAATGAAAAGCTAAAAATACATTACCCCCTACAAACCTCATTATCCAAAGTAATCCAATGACAATCTCTGTAGAATGTGCTGAATTTTATTGATTTTTATATTATGTCCCATAAATTTAAATGAAAATAAAAATCTTTCCTTTACCTGTAATTGGACCATCATCTTCATCAAACTCAATTTTTACTCCCTTTCCATTGGCTGTGCTAACTCCACAGCCACCGCCACGACAGAGAGAAATGGGCACAACCCCATAGACATATGCTAGCATAATGGGGACACCAAAACCTAGGGGAAGAAATGAAAACATGTCAGCAGGCCATCAGGCTGCAACTGTCCTAAATTCCCTCTCCCAGTCTTGACATGGACAAACCACTTATAAAGGGCCAAAGAAAGAGTGCACAGTCCCAAAGTGGATGCCTGGTATAATGGAATGATGACCAGACTTGCAAACAGAAAGGTCTGGATTAGCTGGGTATGGTGGTGTATTGCCTGCAATCTCTGTTACTCTGGAGGTTGAGGCAGGAATATCCAAGTTCAAGGTCAGCCATCAAACAAGACCCTGTCTCAAAAAAAAAGAACTAGGGATATAGCTCATTGGTAGAGTGCTACTGGGTTCAAGCCCCAGTACCACCAAAAGAGAATAAAAAGGTCTGGATTACAATCTCGACTCCAATTCACTGGCTATCTTACTGTGGATCTGTCCTCTCAGGGAGAAGAGAACATATGTGCAGTGTCTAGCAGAGTAAATATATATTACTTTCATTTCCCTCCTATTCACTGTTTAAGGGCTAACCCAAGAATCAAACATTAAATAAGTGACTACTAGGGTTTAGGGTATCCCAGCAGTGTAAATTACAAAGTCACACTGCTCTGTAAAGTAGAATGGTTTAATTATTAAGAGCACAGGATCTGAAGTAAGACTGCCTTGATTCATACATCTGCAAAGTGACTTTGGCAAAATTACTGCACCTTTCTGTCACAATGGTGGTGCTTTTCTGAGGCTGTAGGATTAAATGAAACAATGTGTGTGAAGCACTCAGAATTATGCTTTACCACCAGCATACTTGGAGTTAGAGAACAATTAGTAGAACTGTTCTATTAAAAAATAGAATCCATTTCTGCTTCTAACGAAGTTCAGAGTTCCTTACACCGCATGACAGCTGCTTCCATACGTAGAATAGTCTTTTGACTTCATATCCTTCCTCTACTAACCACATCAGGCTTCCTGCCTAATGGAAGAGCAGCATTTTCATTGAATTTCTGAGGCTGTGCTCTCCTTTGACTTTCAGCTGAACAGCATTTATATTGTATCTTATGGCTACCAGTTCTGTGGCCCTTTATATCTGTCCTAGTCTATAAATTTGTGTTAAGAATATGTAGAGCTTTAATTATTATAACTCATGAAATATTAGTTATAGATTATTTTTCTAAATATCTCCAAAAATATTGTGAGACATTAGTCAAAAATAAAACTGATTTACTTTGTGAATCTCATGACAAGTGAAGGAAGAAGAAGATGAAAGGTGAAAAACTAGGTTTAAAATAATATTCTTTAATTCAACTTTTCTGTATGCCACACTGAATTCTAGGCACTAACTTAAGACACATTCTGATAGTTTAGTGTAGCTGAAAAATAATCATAACAACATTGCCTAATAGAGTTAACTATGAATGCAGGTTTGTCATAAAATGTGGTGTCTCCAGGATAAAATGTTTGGCCAGCTGACTAAACTGCTGAGGTCGGAAAGCTAACAGAGGAGTGGGCGTGGTAGCAGGTGCCTATAATCCCAGCGAATGGGAAGGCTGAGGCAGGAGGATTGCAAGTTCAAGGCCAGCAATTGAGCAAGACCGTGTCTCAAGAAAAAAAAATAAAAAGGGCAGTAGGTATAACTCATCTCCTTAGTGGTAAACAGTATAGCTAACAGAGGAGTTGTGGACCTGATTAGCTTACCAACACTAACTGCTGCAATCACTGGGGATGCAATGACCGACAAAGTCACTCCTCCTGTGATGGCTAAATTCCTCTTGTGTTTGGAGGTTTTCCTTCCCTCATACCTGCTGTGAATCTATAAAAGAGAAAATTCAGGCCAGCAGGTTAGGACACCAATATTTTGCCAGGGGGAAAAAAGAATAAGTGAATATTCATTTACAAGTTATCTATATTAAAATATACCCTTTACCCCCAAAAATCTTTCTCAAATTTTAACCTAATTTAAGAGTTGGAAAATATAAACTAATATAGAAAAAGTTAATCCAAGAGGAGACAAAATAACTCAGGGGAATAAAGTAAGCAATTCACCTTTAAGTCTCTGAGACAAGCCAAGCCAGGATGTTAATAAGAACTTTGAGATCCCATGGGGGTTTATAAAAATCCATTTAAGAAATTAAAGTTATTTTTATCTAAGAACCAGCTGGTTTCCAGGCAGCTCTGAAATATAAGCTCCTTTCCATTTCTCTCAAACCTTTGCCAACAAAACTAAAGCTGGAACAGGCACAGAACCCAGCATGTCTTACCTTCCTTCCAACGTAAACAGGAATGCCAATGACCATGGCAGGAATGGCAATACCAGCAATGAGAGAAATCCCCACTGGAGCACCAATTAATGTGCCCAGTTGCCAAAGAATTTTCTTCTTCCGACTCCATGGCTTCTTGCCCCAGAATGTACAGCCAGAGGGGCTACAGAAGAAACATGGAGTTAATGTCAATATCACAAACACAGCTTCTTATCAAGAAGGCTTGATAAGAACAATAGCTTTCTTTTCAATAGGAGTGATTTAGTTAAAGGAGAATTCAGGAAACCAATATATTATACAAGAGAGAGAAAGAGGACATGGCTAGACTAGTAGAGCTGTGAGCTCTTTCAATTATTTATTAATTCATTTACTTTGTAAAGGCAGAACTCCAGAAACAAAAGGCCTTTTCTTCTCTCTGTTGAACTCTCTCTTCCCAGACCCATCTTCACTGATCCAGCTTCTTCTTCTTTTTTAAAAAATTTAATTAATTATTTATTTATATAACTGATCCAGCTTCTTGACACTACTTGGGATCCTGCATAGCCTGTGCATTTGATAACTCACCCAAATGCATTGTGTTCTGTAGTTAATTAACATTTTGTGTAGTTTCTTAGCACGTATCCTACCACGCCTAATAGATACTATAAACCATGTTCATCGTTAATGTCAGTTTGATAACTTTGGCTGACTTTTATGCTCAGTCCTTCTATACCTGGTCCTTCTTCTTCATTCCCTTTGTGGTACCTTTTCTTCTTGATATAATAAGCAATTGTGAAAGTAGAAATCATGTCTTAATCACCTGTGTCCCCAGTGACTGCTACAGAGCAAGAATTCAAATGTTCACTAAATTGAAAATTAGGTATTTTCATCTACACAATGAAGTCTGTAAATATTAGCTCCTCTAGGACAATTATTTTAAGATTCACTCAATGCTTTGGGAACTCATTATATGCAAGAAGCTGTAAAGAGATCATAGTTTAGTAAGATTAGACATGTCCATGAAGTGCAAAGTAGTGAAAATATACTGAAAGTGATAAAGGAAAGTCATGAAGAAAGAGGCAGAACCCAATTACTGAGGAGGCTGAGGCAGAAGGGTCACAAGTTCAAGGCCAGCCTGGGCAACTTAGTGAGACCCTGTCTCAAAATAAAAATAAATGAATAAATAAAAAGGGCTGGGGAAGTTGCTCAGTGGTAGAGTGCTTATCTAGTATGCATGAGGCCCTGGGTTCAATCCCCATTACCACAAACAAAGAATGAGGCAGAAAATGGGAAGGTATGATCAATGAAATGGCATTTAAGTGGCTCTTAAAGAATGAATAAGCAAACTGAGACAAAAGGGGAATACTGGGAGGCTGATGTGGTTGGAAAGCATGTCAGGCAAAGAAAACAACAAGTATAGGGACAGGATTCCCAGAAGAGACACAAGGAACAACAAACCCAGATTATCTGGGATATAGCATAACTAGAGGAGTAGATTAGGGCCAGGCTATGGAAAGCTGTTAGAGGGGTAAGACATGATTAGAAGGTTGCCCAGAGGTTGCTGAACTGGAGAAAAATATGATCAGAGATACTTTTTACAGATTCCTCACTCTGTAGTGAGAAGACAACTATGTCTCTTTGACATCCTTTTCTCTAAATAAGTAAGGGAATAAGACTACAAAAGCAATGGACATATTTCCCATCTCACCTGAGGTAATGCAAGTCTGAGATCTCTTTCATACAAAGCCAGCAGAATTCACAGCCACACACTGCACAGGTCATGTGATTACAGCTTCCATCATTCATCTTGATAATGTAAGCACTGCATCGTGGGCATGGCTTGATGTCATCTGCTGGAGTGGGAGTAGGAAGGAAGGATGGGTAGAAAAATACCCACTGTTAAACCTAGTTGACTTCATCATTCCTAATAGTGCACATAGAAATGAAGGGGCAGTCAAGAACTCCTGACTGAGGATTCCAGATTGTGCAACACACTTTACTGGAAGGTTGGCTATGTCTAGACCTCAGGAATTTTCAGAAAATGAATTCTGTTTCATACTGAGCTGCCTATCCCAGTAATTGGCATCTTATATAGAACTTGAGTCACAGTCTGAACAAGGAGACTTCCCTAGAGAAAGAACAATGGTTCCAAGTAAAACGGAATTTCCACTTGCCAATAGGCTGATGGATTTAAAAGCAGAATCCTATTTCAAAAATAGTCAGTAGTCTAAAATTGACTTTAAATTTGGATAACTGTTAGTTCAGAAAACTAATTTTTCAGATTCAACAAGTATTATTGAGATTTGTGGTCAACATAACCCATAGTTTCTTCCTGTGATACTTTCAAGTTCAAAATCTAAAAATAATTGGATATGCTATATAACATACACCTGGTAATATTTACAGCAAGTTAGGAGCTGTCCTATAAATATGACAATTCAGGAGATTGTGCTATGCCAGAAAAATGAATGGCAAAATCTTTCTTATTAGCCTCTCCCAAATGACATCATTTGGGAGACATAATCCACTGACATTTTAAAATAGGTTTATTCTGACTTGTCAAGGTTGGAACTGAATGTGACATTTTTTTTAAAGGTTCTGGAGATTTAAAATCTTCCTCCTTTTAAGATTAATGATTAATTCATATTAGTATCATTTCCTTTCCTTAAATCTTTATCTAAAAGCAGTGATATGCTTGAAGCTAGAAAGCAAACAAGTACAGGTTTAACACTAATTAAGTGTCTTTCTGCTCACAATGAAATGAAGAATGAGGCAGAACCCTAGAAAAAGTACCTAACTGTTCTCCAATGTGAGACATATCACTAAGAAGGTAGAGGCTTAAGAATTCAATTTTGTGGCTGGGCCTGGTGCTCTAATTCCAGTTATTGGGGAGGCTGAAGCAGGAAGATCACAAGTTAGGTGCCAGCTTGGGCAATTTAGTGAGACCCTGCTTCAAAATAAAAAAAATTAAGGGGCTGGGGATGTGGCTCAAGTGGTAGCGCGCTGCCCTGGCATGCATGAAGCACTGGGTTCTATCCTCAGCACCACATAAAAATAAAGATATTGTGTCCACCTAAAACAAAAAAATAAATATTTTTTAAAAATTAAAACAATTAAAAAGGGCTTGGGAAGTAGTTCATGATTCAGCACTTGCCTAGCAGATATGAGGTCCTGGGTTCAACCTGCATACACACATAAACACATACAATTTTAATTTTGTTGTATTTCAATTTTATGTGCCTAGGATAACCTATAAATGGTCAGAAGAAAAGGTACATATCAAACATAGTAATGAAAGTATAACCATTATACTATCATACCATGCCAGGCATGGTAGGGTGCATATGTAGTCCCAGCAACTTCGGAAGCTAACATGATGTAAGCATGAGAGTTCAAAATCAGCCCTGGAGATCCAAGCTCAAAATAAAAAAGGTGTGTGTGGGGGTGTGTGTGCTGGAGATGGAGCTTAGGGATAGGTAGAGTACTTACCAAACACGCTTGAGGCCATGGGTTTGATCCCCAGCACCGCCAAAAAAAGTATAATCAGGGATGGGGATCTAGCTCAGTTGGTAGAGTGCTTGCCTCGCATGCATAAGGCCCTGGGTTCAATCCCCAGCATCACACACACACGCACACACACACACACACAAAAAAAAGTATAGTCAAATAATAGTTTCTGTTCTCAGATTCCAAGGAATCCTTGAGTTTTATATTAGTAAGATAACTTTTCAAGATTTGGGCTCACTTTATGAGGTATCAAATAAAGAGACAATGAGATAATGCCAACTTATACCTGGTCCAGATTCTTGCCCATAACTGAGACCTGAAGTATGCTTGGTCCGAACTCTCAAAGTCTGTGCCCTCTGCTGCCGGGCCATATCGCAGGTCTGATTTGGATGCCATATCTGCTTGCAGTGGTAGCAGAACTCAGTCTGGCAGCCTTCCCTCTCACAGGTTAGCTTTGGGCAGCTGGCACAGCCATAGGCAATAACAGCATAACTGGTAAGGAAACAGGAAGATATCAGTAAGATTAAAATTGATCTAACAAGACAGACATTATTCATCAGGGCTAACATTGTTTGCCACCACCCCACAGCCACATAAGATGCAAAGAAAACACGCATACATGAGCCTGACCAACTATATAACTAATCCCATATGAGAAAGTAGATTTCTTGATATTCCAAAAATAATTTTCTGAAAAAAATGGGGGTATATATCATATTTAGCTTGAATTCCTAGCCTTTGTTTAAACATAGTTTAAAATGCTTCAGTAGTGGTTTGCCACCCAGTTTCATAAATAAAGAGTACAAAACAATTTCCTTTCCATGGTTTATTATATTTAGAGAGATTAGAGTTTGTTTACAAGAAAAGACAATACTTACAAAATAAAGAACTACAGCAAAAACTAAAGCAAGTATACTTTTTCATTTTAAGTTTTACAATGGAGTTGGTCTGACAACAGCTTGAGAGACAATGGCCCTAGATGGTGAAGTTCTACTGAAAGCTCATTTTATCTTACACCTTTCTTTTTTTTTTCAATTCCATTCTATACCTTTTAATGTTTTCTTTCTTGATAGCTTCCAAAAGCCAAGAATACTACCACCTCTATTATAATTAATATAACATAAGGCCATATCTTCCCTCCTCTCTTTTGACATATATGCTTAAAAATGTAATTCAGAAATTATCAGCACTAGCATCATTCGTTTCATGTAATCCATGCTCATTTGCCAAGAATTAGTCTCCCATAAATAATCCACTATATTTACAACTACTAGCCTTTCTGATTAATTCTAAATATGTCAACTAAATTTTCAGACTACCCTAACAATCAGAGACTTTTCTTTAAAAAAGTAATTTAGAGAAACAAATGGAAAGCTGCAAAAGTTTACCACACAGTTTTCAAACAGATAAATAATTGCATGCTTAGCTGTTGCCATCTGTGCTTTGTTGTCCCCTATTTCATCCTCTTCCCAATTTCCAAAGCCCTCAAATAACTTTTTTTTTTAATATTTATTTATTTTATTTTTCCGGCAGACACAACATCTTTGTTAGTATGTGGTGCTGAGGGTCGAACCCGGGCCGCACGCATGCCAGGCGAGCGCGCTACCGCTTGAGCCACATCCCCAGCCCGCCCTCAAATAACTTATGTGAATGGCTAATAAGGTTTTCTTGGATTTATTCCAGTTTTCTCATTTATTTGAATGTACATTAGATGTTCAAAATACCAACTCAAGTTCTATGGTTCATCATAGATCCTGCAAATGACACTAAAACTATAAATGACCAGTATCTCCTATGTCATATGATACAGGCTGCATTAAAACTTTTCTCAGAAAGAACAAAGTGAGAATAGGTCAATGTGTGAATGCAAATGATTCATATCCTGTGGGAGCTCTGAGCAAATTTACCCCACCTAGCTGCAAAATAGCTACTAAAGATAAACAATATACCTCCTAAAGAAAGTGACTTGCTTGCTATTTTGTGTTAAATGGGAAAAGCAGTAGATGACCTCAGAAGAGTAATAAGCCAAGTTCTGAAGATACACATTAAATTGACTACCAATCAGGAACACTTAAACACTTCATAATCCGATACCATTTTGCAGAGGAGGAGAAAATACTTATTAAAATTCTGTTTGTTTTTGGTGCTAGGGACTGAACTCAGGGCCTCCTGTATATTAATCACACACTCTACCACTAAACTACACCTCCAAATAAGATTCCTTTTTTTATTAAAAAAAATTAAACACAGTTCAAATCAGTATGTCTGGTTCATTTCAGTTCCTTCACTATTAAACCTGGGGGGCAGGGACTGCTTCAGTTTTCTCTGGCTTCCTTTGTCTATGATGACCAAGGTATAAAGGTATCTGCTGCTTTGAACCTTAAACTTCACATTATCCTTGTTTTTCTTAATTTTGACAGACTTGGCATCCTTTTGCCTGTGAGTGGAAAATCCTTGATTTCCTCAATTTTTCAAGGCACAGCAATGAGGCATACTAGGGAGAAGACGTGGACTAACACAGCAAACATGAAAAACCAATTTTAGGTGTGTAATTTGGTTCTAATGAAGTAAAATAACCCCAAACTCCCCAATCTATTATTATGACACAGAATTACTCATGGCATGAGACTTGATATTCTTGTTTTGGGGTGCCTGGTCTGGGCTCTGATTCATTATACATGACACTAAGCTACTTAAAATCTCCAAACCTTAGCTTCCATCCCTCAAATCAAGGTACAGGGAGATAATTCCCACCTTCAAGTGTAGCTGAACATATTCTAAAACTGTATTTGCAATCTTGCCCTGAAAAGTATGGCATGAGAACAGCACAAGCTGGGCATGATGGTATACACCTGCAATCCCAGGTACTAAGAGGCTGAGGAAAGAAAATCATAAGTTTCAGGCTAGTCTGGGCAATTTGGTAACTTCCTTCCCTCAAAATTCAAATTTTAGAAAGGGTTAGAGGTGTAGCTCAGTGGTAGCATGCCCTTGGGTTCAATCCTTCAATTCCAGTTCAATCCCCAGTGCCACACCAAAAAAAAAGAAAAAAAAAAAAAAAGAGAGAGAGAAGAGCTAGAAACAGAAAGAGAGAAGAAAAACATAGCATTCTTTGTCCTACACCTTCTTGGCCTTTGCATATTCTTTCTTTTGCCTAGAAATCTCTTCCTTTCTTCTTGCCCTGGTAAATACTTACCCATTTAAAAATCAGCTCAAATGTCATATTCTCTGTAAAATCTACCTAACCTCTTCAGGCAGCTGGTTGCCTATTTTGTGCCAGTGCACAATCATAACACATTATATACATTATATTGTAATTATCTTGCCTTTCCAACAATAATAGAGAGAGAAGGAAGGGGGGAGGGAGAGAAATACCGACAGGGAGAGGGAGAGAGAAAGGAAAAAAAAATCCTTCAACCCTAAACCTATTTACATGGCTTAAATACATTGATCAACTTGAATCCAGTCTACATTTTCAGATTGATATTTAGTCACTTCCCAGATCATGCTCCCTACAATATGCCTCCAGAGGCTAACCAATACAACTCCGGACTTAGGATGGTATCTTGGCATTTTATATCTCCATGCATTTGCTCCTAACACTCAGGCTTAAGAGGCTTTTTTTCCTCTATCCTCATCTTGAATGAATTTCTACTCATATTCTTGAAGGCCCACATCAAATGCCATCTTCTCCATGAGATCTTTTTTTGATGTTATCATGCAAAACCTATTATTCTTTCATCTAAGAATACTTGTATTTTCCTTAGTACTTATCACATTATGTTTAAAATTTCTTATCTATCAATCATCCTGTCTTCTCTACTAGGTCAACCTTCTTATCAAGAGGACTACGTCTAAGTCCTTTCTGTTATACCCTGTCTTCAACTAGTGTTCAACAAACACTGCATCATTTTCAAAAGTGTCTGCTGAATGATTACCTATCCTATTCTTTCCCACTTCCTATCTCAGTTCCTTATTTATGAACCAGGTATGCTTTCATACTCTGTACCTTTCTCATCAAGATTCACCTATTGATCTCACGTTTTTAGGACCTAAATGAAAGGGTTTGTACATGGAAGTTGTAGAAACAGTAGAAATATTCTAGAGGAAGTATTTTTTTTAAAGTTACATATGGACACAATACCTTTATTTATTTATTTTTATGTGGTGCTGAGGATTGAACCCAATGCCTCACACATGCTAGGCAAGTGCTCTCTCATTGTGCCACAAGCACAGCCCCTAGAGGAAGCAATTCTTAATCTACTCTGAGAGCACAAGATGTACTGATAAATATAGACACTCACTCAAGGCAGGCCAGAGTGATAACTATTAAAGAAGTCTCAAAAACTGCAAACAGGGAAAACAGCAAATAGTTAATCTTAAAGGTGCAACAGAAAAAATAAAAACATGCTCCCTAATGATCCACATTTTATTTTGAGACAGGGTTTTGCTAAATTGTCCCAGCCTCCTGAGCCACTGGGATTACAGACGCATACCACTGTGCATGGCTAATATTCTCCTTTATTGACTGTGAAATTTGTCTCACTCAGGGAACTTGTTCTTCCCTCATAAATGTGCTGGGAATGAACAGAAGCTTCCTGTTTATGGGAATGGTCCTATCCAGTTGTCTGGGAAGACCAATACTGATACTATCTCCTAGTGTGAGGTGGGAGGTGGAACTCTGCAAGATACAGAGGCAACAATGAGAGGCTGGAGTGGGGGACCTGCATAAAGAATTTAGGTCAGGACAACCTTATTTCCTATTTAACTGTATAAAAGTTCTGCCCTTGTATACCAGGATATTTTATTACCTCTTTGCTCACCCTTGTCTCCCAGAGATTCTGAAAGGATTTAAAATTGGCAGTGGAGTAATGATGTCCATCTCATTTCATCATCTTTCCTGCCCCCATTCCTCCCGTCTCGCCTTTGCCCGAAGTTCCTCCATTCCCTCCCCCACCCCACCCCCCATGTATCAGCATCCACTTATCAGAGAGAACATTTGGCCTTTGGTTTTTGGGGGCTTGGCTTACTTAATTTAGCATGATATTATCCAACTCTGATCATTTATCTGCAAATGCCATAATTTTATTCTCTTTTAATGCTGAGTAACAGGACATCATTACATGTATGAATGCACATATGATGCCACACTACATCGTGTACAACCAGAGAAATGAAAAGTTGTGCTGCAATGAATCAAAATGCATTCTGCTGTCATATATACCTAATTAAAATTAATTAATTAATTTAAAAAATGTTCTGAACATAAAAAAAAATTGGCAATGGAGCATCTGAGAGGAAAACATAAAAGTTTCATTATTTGGGGATTTTTGAAAAGACACGCATAGGCAGAGATTCAAAAGGATAATAGAGCAACTGCACCACTTATTAGCTACAAAACATTAGATCCCACATTTATATTTATGTTTTTTTAGTACCAGGGATTGAACCCAGGAGTGCTTAACCACTGAGTCATATCCCCAGCCCTTTTTATT